TTGAGCCCAGGAGTGTGAGGTTGCTGTGAGCTAGGCTGACGCCACGGCACTCTAGCCCGGGCAACACAGTGAGACTCTGTCTCAAAAAAAAAAAAAATACAATTTTGGTTTGGTTTTGGTTTGCTTTTGTTTTAAAGGAGTTTAATAAACATATCTGTGCTTATCAGAAGAATGTTTTGCTTTGATGAGGGAGGCTTTTTCAATTCTTAACCTCTGAGTATGTGGTATGTATTTTCATTGGTTAAAATGAATTCAACACATCAATTTTGGTCTTAAATAAAAGAGGACAAGTTTTCATAGGTACCCCTACCTTTGCTTATTATTCCCCTGCCTACTTTGAGGATTTATTGAAGAAGAAAGGTAAAGTAAAGGAGACTTTCCATGCTTTTGCCTAGGGTAGTTCGAAAACAGTGAAATCGTAAGTCATGCATTTTGAATAAAATTGCTGTTTTAAATTTTTGTTTTAGGATAGTGGAGATTATCCACTTACCATGGCTGGTCCTCAGTGGAAGAAGTTCAAATCCAGTTTTTGTGAATTCATTGGCGTATTAGTACGACAATGTCAATATAGCATCATATATGATGAATACATGATGGATACAGTCATTTCACTTCTTACAGGATTGTCTGACTCACAAGTCAGAGCATTTCGACATACAAGCACCCTGGCAGGTCAGTATTTAGAAATATTTTCTGCATATTGCCTTAGGTTAGAGATGAAAAAGGTTCTCATTAAAAGAGAAAGGAAATAATAGTGACACAAGTTAATTAATCTTATTTATAAAGTGACCGCTAACAGGACACTTCGCCCACCTCCAACCCTTCTGTAAATTACTGGAAATGGGATGGTATTTTTAGTCTTGGTTCTGTGAAGGTGTACTATAGCTAGTATATGGTGATGTCCTTGTGGTAAACGTATTTGAATACCATGACACAATAAGAGAAAATTAGACAATAGGTATGTGTTGGGTTCCTAGAAGATGTTATTAGGGGAAGATACTGACAGCAGATTTGGGTAACTGTCACAGTCATTTTGGATATGTAATCCTGATGACCTTATAGTTTGTCTCTGGTATGCGTATCCCCACCTCCCCCAGGTATGATGGCCCCTATTGGACAGTGCTTATTCTTTTAATCACACAACAAAAGGTTGATTTTTCTTATGTCTTTGGGTAACTTTAGCCAGGCCAAATTCTTCGATCTTTACATTTTAGTGAAACAAGTTATATTTTTACACCTGAAAAAAAAATCTTTTATACTAAAGGTAAAGTTGCTGATACACTATTACTGAATATGTGCTTTTTGATTTGAATTTGAATAAATCAAATAGGCTTTGTTATTATAGTCTTCTAAGCCTCAATGATATTTTGATTTTGAAAACAAAAATTTTTCATTCTCTAACTGTGGGAATTTTTTTTTCTTTAGAATTATTTTCTCACAGAATTAAAACTATGATTAAAGATATGCTTCTAAATCTTCCATTATTAAAAATAAAATGTAGATGGTTTCTCATAGTTTCACCATTTTTGCTTTCAGATTTTAAATCACAAAATGTGAATGTGCTCTTGTTTAGTGTACTTAATATGGTATTCAGTGTCAAGAATTTGATGGCTAAAAGTAAATTAAAACAAGTATTATGGCACAAGGTGAATAAATTTATTTTAGATCAGAGTGACTAGCTGGTTTGCTCAGGGCTTGAAATGGCACGGAACAGAAAGCTGCAAAGTCTCTCTTTAAAGAGAACCAGTAGCCACAAATTAAGATGTAGTTTTGTCTTGTATCATGCAATGCACTAAGTCTGAGAAATGGTCTGGAGCAAGTTAAAGAAAACATAAAGTGATCAGATCTTTCAATTAATAAATTTTAAATCCCAGGCAATAAGATTCTTGTCCCAGGCTTAAGAGTTCAGTAACAGGAGGTACAGATCTGGAGGAAGTTTTATGAAAAGGCACTTAAATGAGTGCCATTTTGCTCTTTGTACTTCTGACTTTTCATGTAGATTTGTTGTTCGCAATCTCATCATTGTCCTTATGATATGTGACAGAGTAAAATTAAAGGAACACAAATACTGATAAAACTCTTCAATATTTTTATACAGTGTAATTTGATATAAAGCAGTCAAGTTCCCTTTAATTGCTGAGAAAGCTAAATGACTTCTGTGTGAACTTAAATTTACTCAGAAGGTGAATCCTGATCAATGAAAAAGATCATTTAGGGGACATACTATAAAATAGTGGGATTTAAGCAAAGTTTGGAGTCAGATTACCTTGTTTCGAGTCTGGGTTTAACTACTTATACAAACTGTAATCTGACGCAAATTCTTTAATCTCCCTGAGCTTCAATATCCTCATGAATGAAGTGGGGATAATTTTTTTTGTCTTTTTTTTTTTATTATTTCAGCATATTATAGGGGTACAGATGTTTAGGTTACGTATGTTGCCCTTCCCCCCCCCCCAAGTCCGAGTTTCAAATATGCCCATCCTTTGGGTGGTGCGCATTGCACTCTTTGTGTATGCATATACCCGTCCCCTCCCGCCTCCCCTCTGCCCAACATCCAATAGATGTTATTCTTATATGTGCACTTATGTGTTGATCAGTTAAAACCAATTTGCTGGTGAGTACATGTGGTGCTTATTTTTCCATTCTTGGGATACTTAACTTAGTAGAGTGGGTTCCAGCTCTATCCAGGAAAATAGAAGAGGTGCTAGATCAGCATTGTTTCTTATGGCTGCGTAGTACTCCATGGTATACATATACCACATTTTATTAATCCACTCATGTATTGATGGACACTTGGGTTGTTTCCACATCTTTGCAATTGTGAGTTGTGCTGCTATAAACATTCGGGTGCAGGTGTCTTTCTTATACAGTATCATTTGCTCTTTTGGGTAGATGCCCAGTAATGGGATTGCTGGATCGGATGGTACTTCTACTTGTATCTCTTGAAGGTATCTCCATATTGTTTTCCACAGAGGTTGTGCTAGTTTGCAGTCCCACCAACAGTGCATGAGTGTTCCTATCTCTCCGCATGCACGCCAACATTTATTGTTTTGGGACTTTTTGATAAAGGCCAGTCTCACTGGAGATAAGTGATATCTCATTGTGGTTTTAATTTGCATTTCCCTGATGATTAGAGATGTTGAGCATTTTTTCATATGTTTTTTGGCCATTATTCTGTCTTCTTTTGAAAAGTTTCTGTTCATGTCCTTTGCCCACTTTTTGATAGGGTCGTTTGATTTTTTTCTTCTTGATTTTCAATGGGGATAATTCTTAACTTTGAATGCTATTGTGAGGATTAGGAGATAATCCATGGAAGTACTTAACATAGGTAATTGACTGACACATAGTAAGTATTCAATACACATTAGCTGTTGTTTTATTACTGTTGTCATTTGTAGCAAGCAGCTGTATTTTTCTTTCCTGTTAGAAGCAGAGCAGCTCATCTCTGCTTAATTTGATCTTAAATTGTAAATTTTTGCATGTTAGACTAATTTCAACATTTTATCCTTTTAAAAATAGCTATGAAGTTGATGACAGCTTTGGTGAATGTGGCACTAAATCTTAGCATTAATATGGATAATACACAAAGGCAATATGAGGCAGAACGGAATAAAATGATTGGAAAACGAGCCAATGAGAGGCTAGAACTCCTGCTACAAAAGCGGAAAGAGGTATACTTTTATATTGAACATTTAGGCTATTAATGTGTGAGCACCTTGGTTGCCATTAGTTATGATATAACTTTGTTAGTACCTCAGGTATTTTTTTGAAAGATTTAAGTTTAACGTATTTCAGGTTATGTGTCTGACTTAAAGTTTTGTTGAATGACCATGCTAACAATACCTTGTGTATCTTTTCTGTGTCCGTGGGCTAGTATTAAGAGTACTGGGCTTTAAGTAAGGAGACCTGGATCAGTCTGAAAAGTTGTTGTAAACCTTCATATTATTCATCTTTATTGTGCATAACTCCCCACACCTTGTTGTTAGGATGAAATGAGGTTTTGCAATAATGTGAAATCATTTTGAAAAATAGCTTCTAAGCTATTTATTGGCATCTAAATCAGTTTTTTTGTAGATTAACATTAATGACTGCCCACCAAATTTAGCTTTGAATGAGGAAGGTATTTTCTTGTCAGCCTTAACGCTAAATAATGGTAAATAAAATCCTCTGATGTTGTGTTTGTAATTTAAATTCTTTCTTCATTGGTGATAAAATATTTTGCCATCTAACAATGGAGATGTTTCTTTTCATTTCTAGTAGACAAAGTCTGAAGTTTCAAAAATATTAGTAATGCAGTTGAGTTCAAATAGTTGTCATGGTAATCCGTAAACTGACCTTGATTTTTTTTGTGGGGGAAGTAGCTATAATTTTAAATTGTTTATTTCTGAAATCATTGATAACATTTTTAAATACCCTGATTGTAGAAAAATAAGAAAAATACTGCTCATTTCCCTCATGCCTAAATTCCTCATCTTTTTTATATAATTTGAAATGAAAAATGGATGCTTTTGCCCCTTAACATACTTAATAAATTTCATTGTTTGACTTATTATGTGAATATAAAGCATGTCTTAGTCCTTGAAATTATGGCCTAATTCTTGGACACAGGTTTAGGATTGTGAACATAGAATGAGTAGATAAAGATAAAAGGGCTTAGAGATTAAAATTCCTGTACAAATATACTACTAAGTTAGGGTTACGTTTTTAAACACGTTGAAAGGCATCCTGCACCTTTGACTGTGCTAATGTGTATAAGAAGTGCGTGCCTTTGTTAGCCTTATTTGGAAATGTAAGATTATATTCATGCAAAGAAAAAAATACTTTTTACAAAAGCACAGAATATAATCTAAAAGCTAATTTATCCTTAGATTGTAACTCCCAAGCTCTGAATTGAAAATTTATGTAAGTGTACTGGTTATCCAATATTTGAAATGTTTATTTGATTATTTCAGGTCAATCTTTCTTCCCTCAAAAGAGTTTAGCAGGGAGACAATTTTTTTACCTGGTTATTTTATTCTAATTCCTTTTGTTCTTTGACCAGACACTAGTTAACATGACTCTTTTTCAGACTATAAATATCAAGATAATGAGAAATTGTTAAGCTTTTTTGATATGAACAAATATGTTATATAACAAATGATCTGAAGTATTAATAATAAATTACATAATAAATTTCTTTACAGTTCCTTTATACAATGAAATTTTGTAAGCATTAGAAAAGAATTAATCTGCCAGCTAAATATTAAAACCCAAGTCAGATATTTCAGGTACCAAGAAACTTTAGCTACCTGATGTACAACTGTTAATTTTTCTAAGTGGTGGTTGTTGTTGGTAGAATTAAAAATTAGATGTAACCACCAAAATAATGGAGAATCCTACATTTTTTCGTGCTTGTAACAACTTTTCAGTGTTCTTTTGGTTGTCTTCCTTTATAATTCAAAAGAAATGGTGTGTTCTTTACAGCTTCAGGAAAATCAAGATGAAATAGAGAATATGATGAATGCAATATTTAAAGGAGTGTTTGTACATAGATACCGGTAAGTCAGGACAATTTTTTCATAAGTAGCGCTGTGTAATTTTTACTCTGCAAGTTTGGATGTTTATTGGTTTATGCTGTATAAATTAGTGGAAAGAATGGTATAGTAGATCAATGTTAGAATCTAAGCTCAGCCACTGAGTCACTCTGGTCAAGTCATTTAACTCCTCTGATTTTCATGTTTCCCATCTGAAAAATGGGGTAATGGTGTGATTGACTTGTAGCTGCCCAGCTAGAGGAAGTTACTGCAATTATTAGGAGTCAGGGTATAAAATACTTAATTGCTTTTGGATGTACTGTGTTAGTAGAGACTTGATATGCTGACTCCTGACTCTCTTCTCTTCCACTTGAATATCAGTGGGAAAGTTTGGATAGGTTAAAGTGAGATATTTTCTTTTGCTATATTGAATGAACAAAGGAATGAAATAGGTAATCTTATACAATTTCTGCTGTAACGTATTCTTAAATGTTGGCAGTATTTTTATTCAGCTTCTCCCACATTTCTTCAACTTGGCAGTATTGAATCAGGTTAATGCTTGCTTTGTAATGTCCCCATGTCCATTCTTACATTTTTATTTCTATTGTCACCATTACCTTAGTCTGTTACCTCATCATTCTCATGCCTAGAGATTATTGCAGTTTTCCTAAAACATCCTTTTATTGTGTTATTCTTCTGCCTTCAATGACCTACCAGTACCCACAGGATGAATTTAAAATCATTTAGTATGACATTCAAATCCCAATTGAGCTTGGCCTCAATGTTATGTGTAAGTAATTCTCACCTGGAAAATTGTGCTCTAGCCAGACTAGTGTGCCTGCTGTGTTCTGAACACACCATGCTCAGCAAGTATGAGCAAAGGCTGGGATGTGGTATGGTGTAAAAGGTGGGGATGGGATTTCGTTTGTAGTTTTACTTAATTTTAAATATGTATGTGTTGGTAATTATGCTTCGCCACCTGGACTATAAGCTTTTGGCATTTGGGGCCATGCTTCAGTTCTACTTTTTAATCCCCAGTTATACTTGAGATACTGTTACATTTATAGTAGGTATGAAGTCCTTGGTATGTCTTAAATAAATGGTAAGTCCTGGGTATAGTGGCACTAATTATACATAATTTTCCTTCTTTTATTCAGCGATGCAATAGCTGAAATCCGAGCTATATGCATTGAGGAGATTGGCATTTGGATGAAAATGTATAGTGATGCCTTTCTTAATGACAGTTATTTAAAATACGTTGGTTGGACTATGCATGATAAGGTAAGATGTGCCCTGCAGATTGCTTCTGTCTACGCAAGGCATGGCTGTCTGCAGCTCTTATTCATGAGTTATCTGCCTGTATGTATACCTGGGGCCACATTCCTCATATGCCTTTCTCCATTATTCTTTTGTATCTGCTCTGTGAAACCTTGGTCTCAATCACATAAAGTCCCTTAGATTTTTTAAATCCTGGCTACTGATTTAACCTTCATTGTGAATTGATTTTTGTGCTGAAATACTAGGATCCTGTACGTGGTAATAGTGAAGCATTTCTTAGAGCACTGAGAAGACCCCTTAATCCGTTGTTAGCTGAGTGCTATATATTTTTGTCAAATTCTTCAATTTTGATCCTCTCTTTTCAAATGAAGGTATCTTAGCCAGATTATACCTTCCAATTTGGTCTCTGACTTTTTATTTTTTTCATTAAACTACTGTTCTCTTACAGTGCCTCTTTATCAGCCTTGAAGAAGTTCCTGGTATACATATTCCTTCCAAACATTACTTTCTGTAAAGGAAAATTTACTGTGAAATATGCTTCTGTTGTCTTTCACAGTAGTTTTGCTCTAAACAAATTTTCAAAAAACGATCATTTGACAGAAATAGTAACCCCATAGGTATTTAGTCTTAAGTGTATGTACTGATTTCTATTTTTGCATTATCAACGATAACAGTTTCTGAAGAAATGCTGTTGTATAAAACATGTTTAAAACTTTAAAGTAGAAAATACTGTATATATCTTGAATATTCAGGTTGAAAACATAGTTTTAATGCATTTTCTCTTCTTGTTTTTTTGTTATTTTAGCAAGGTGAAGTAAGACTCAAATGTCTTACTGCTCTACAAGGGCTTTATTATAACAAAGAGCTAAATTCCAAACTGGAGCTTTTTACCAGTCGGTTCAAGGTTAGTATTACTTTAAGTATTTAAAAATTACCTATAATTTGAAAATATTTTTCTCTTGCTTTCCTTTTAAAAAATATTTTAATTTTTTTGTCCTTAGGATAGAATTGTGTCTATGACCCTTGACAAAGAATATGATGTTGCAGTACAAGCAATAAAATTACTCACTCTTGTTTTACAGTAAGTATGTATTTGTTGCATATCTGGACTAATGTGCAGATACCTAAATAATAGATTAGAGTGCTTCAAAATCATCTAGTTCTAAATTTTAATAGCCTAAATCATGTGATTGTACAGCTAGAAGTTTCCTCATGTAAAGTTGAGAAAACACAGGAAGAAGGAAACATAGAACTTATGAAATTCTGAGGGAGGAATTCATGTGTTCCCATTCTCTTGGCCAGTTTCCTTCCTATTTTACTGTTTTTGGTGCTCTCGAAATTAAAAATGTGCTTATTATATTTTATCACACATTTAAAGTATGAGCATTTACTAAAACATATATTTCTCTTAGTACCTATAAACAATCTGAATTTAAGACATTCAACTATGTCTAATACGCTAATATCTAGAAATGATGTTATTCACATTTTTCCTTTTTAAAAAATTTGTGGTAAAATATGTATAACATAAAATTAACCACTTTAACCATTTTTGAGTGTGTGTGTGTGTGTGTCTATATATGGTTTTAGTGGCATTATGTGTATTCACATTATTGTGCAATTGCCACTGCTATCCATCTCCAGAACTCTGTACCTATTAAACACTAAATCCCCACTGCTCCCTTCCCCCAGACCCTGGTAACCACTGGTTCTGTTCTGGCTCTGTGAATTTTCCTATTTCATATAAGCGGAATCGTAAAATATTTGTCCATTTGTGTCTGGCTTATTTCACTCAGCATGTCTTCAAGGTTCATCAATGTTATTGTGCATATATCAGAATTTTGTTCCTTTTTATGGCTGAATAATGTTTCATTGTATATGTGTATACCACGTTTTGTTTATTCATCCCCGAATGAGTTTGGGCTCATTCTACCTTTTGACAATTGTGAATGACATTGCTTTGTGCATGGGTGGTGGAAGTATCTGTTCAAGTCCTGCTTTCAATTATTTTGTGTATACCCAGAGGTGGAATTCCTGGATCATATGGTATCCTGTTTAATTTTTAGGGGGGGGAACTGTCATATTGTTTTCCATAGCAGTTGTGCCATTTTACATTCCCAACAGCAATGTACAAGAGTTCCAATTTCTCTACATCCTCACCAACACTTGTTTTCTGCTTTTCAAATAAATATTTATCAAGTGCTGTCTCCATTCTAATCACTTGGGTGGTATGTTAGGCCTCTTAAAATCTTCCTGTTTCAAAATTAAATCTTTTATAAAAACACCTAGTAGTAAACAAGCAATCCACCAGATGTATATGAAGAAACATTAATAAAATGCAAGTAAGGGACATAAAAGAAGACTTAAATTTGGAAAGCTTACCTTAGGAAAACTCAATATTTAAAGATTTATTATTTCCCTTTATCTGTATATTTAACACAGTCCAAATAATAATGGCAAAGAGTATTTTTTTTTAACCATAGAAAGCTAATTCTGACACTCATATGGAAAAATTGTGTAAGAGTAGCCAGCAGAATGTATTAAAAACCAATGAGTGAGGACTAGTCCAATATGATTTTAAGTCATATTATAAAGCCGTAATATTTTTTTAAAAGATACAATATTAAATTATAAAAAACCATAGTAATTTTAATTATGGTCTCAGTGCATGAATACACAAAAAGATCAGTGGAGTAGAATAAAAATAGAGACAAACATAAATACGTGTAGGATTCTAGTATAAGATGAAGGTGGCATTTCCTGTCAGAAGTACCGTCAATAAATGTTTTTGTAACAAGTTGTATTTTGGGGAAAAGTAAAATGGGGCTCCTGTTTCATTCCTTACCCCAAAATAATTTCCAGTTGGATGAAATATTTAAATGCTAATAAATGAAACCATGAAAGTATAGTTGAAAGTGTGAGAAGAGTTAAAATTTTTATTTTATATATAAAATGATTGTACAAAATTTTTTCTGAACATGACATAAAACCTAGACAAAAAAGATCAATGAATTAACCACATTATAATCAAAAAATGTCTATATGGCATGAAGTACCATAAACAAACTCTGAAAACAAATATCAGCTTAACGTTTCAAAAAAGAAAGATAATGTCAGATTCGGTGAAATACTTGCATCACAGGGATCAGTTTCTGCAAATCAATTAAAAGAACAGAAGCCCAGTAGGAAAATAGTCAAATGTTATGGATCAGATCATTAAGAGAAAATAAAAGAGAAATTTAAACTTATGAGAAAATGTTCAGCCACACTTAAAAGCATACATTTTAAATTGATACCATTTTTTACCTATTTACTTGGCAAAGATAAAAAGTGTTTGATGGCCGGGCGCGGTGGCTCACGCCTGTAATCTTAGCACTCTGGGAGGCTGAGGCGGGTGAATCACTCAAGGTCAGGAGTTCGAGACCAGCCTGAGCAAGAGCAAGACCCCGTCTCTACTAAAAATAGAAAGAAATTATTTGGACAACTGAAAATCTATATAGAAAAAATTAGCCGGGCATGGTGGCGCATGCCTGTAGTCGCAGCTACTCGGGAGGCTGAGGCAAGAGGATTACTTGAGCCCAGGAGTTTGAGGTTGCTGTGAGCTAGGCTGATGCCACGACACTCTACTCTGGGCAACAGAGTGAGACTCTGTCTCAAAAAAAAAAAAAGTGTTTGATAATATACTATATTGTTGAGGCTATGCTGAAACAGGCCCTTTTACAGTTAATGAGAGTATAAATTGGTTTAAGTTCCTTGGAGAAAATTGGCAGTATCTATCAAAATTTAAAATGTTCATGTTCACTAACACAGCATTTGTTTGTAATAGCAGTTTTTTTTTTTTTAATTTTATTTTTGAGACAAGGTCTCACTCTGTTGCCTGGTCTAGAATGCAGTGGTGTCATCATAGCTCACTCCAATCTCAAACACTTGGGTTCAAGTGATCTTGCCTAAGCCTCCTGAGTAGCTGGGACTACAGGCACGTGCCAGCATGCCTGGCTGATATTTTTTTTTCTTTTTTTGAGACAGAGTCTCACTCTCTTGCCTAGGCTAGAGTGCCATGGCATCAGGCTAGCTCACAGCAACCTCAAACTCCTGGGCTCAAGCGATCCTCCTACCTCAGCCTCCCGGGTAGCTGGGACTACAGGCATGCACCACCATGCCTGGCTAATTTTTCTATTTTTAGTTGTTTGGCCAATTTCTTTCTATTTTTAGTAGAGACGGAGTCTCGCTCTTGCTCAGGCTGGTCTCGAACTCCTGAGCTCAAGCAATCCTCCTGCCTCGTCCTCCCAGAGTGTTAGGATTACAGGCGTGAGCCACCATGCCCGGCCCCTGGCTGATTTTTTTGTTTTTTGTAGACAAAGGGTCTGGCTATGTTGCCCAGGTTGGTTTTGAACTCCTGATCTCAAGTGATCCTCTTGCCTTGACCTCCCAAAGTGCTGGGATTACAGGCATGAAATTTATTACAGGCTCCCGGCCTATAATAGCAGAATTTTGAAAACAACTGAGATATTTGTCAATAGATGAAGAATTAAATTAGTGTATAAGATAATAGCTAATATAAACACTTTATGTGGATTATCTCATTCAATACAGCAGCCTAGTGACATGGTGGTGGTTATTATCCCCATTTATATGAAATAGACTACACTGTAGTCATTTAAAAAGGCAGTTCTAGATATATTGACATTTTTGGAGAATACACTTACCTAGGGGCTTTTTGAGCAGTCTGTTAACTATTGCATGTTTCCTTAATTTTAATTGAATTTAAAATTATAAACATATGTAAAGATACTGAAACAATTCTGAAATAAGAACAGTACTCTAGATATATTTCTGTAGCTTCCTCCTTCCTCCATAATACACTATGAATATCTTGTTTCTGATATTTTTATTAAAGATAATAATAGACATACCATTTGTATTGATTTTTCAGCCGGGTGTATACGTAATAATTGAAACTTGTTAGGAATGTTCCTTCTCAAAAAGTTAAAACGAATGAGCTACCACAGATTTGCACTACTTTAACTGGTTTGATTCAATGTTTTTTGGTTATAAAAACCACAAGTGGTTTTTCCAAAACAATCAAGTATTAGAGTAATTTAAATCAAAGTGCTTTGAAACTTGAATTTTAACAATGTAGTTTCTTTTTCTCTGAAAAAGTAGTAGCATTTCTTTCACATCAGAGTTCTGGAAACCTTTAGCACAACAGAAAACCAAAAAGTAAAAAGTATCTGTGTTCTTCAACTATCTATGCAGTGTTCTCAGGCATAAGATCAGGAAAATGAGCACTACATTTTAGTAAGATTTTTTCCAATGATAAATTACAATTAAAGATCTTTGTCACTTAAATTTTAATTATTTGGAAAATCCACTTATATTGCCTTCTGTGGTATTCAGTACATGGTAGATGAAGTATTCTTTATCAGTGTGAGATAAAGGCATTAGTATATTTTAATGTGATATTGTGTTCCTCAATATTGCTAAGAAATATATGCAATGTTATCTGTGATTATTAACTCTAAGTTCTTAGCATGCTGCCACTTTCTGCATTAGTTTTGTCTTCCCTTTCTCTTTGGCATCTATGTCACATTATTCTGTTAAACGTTCATTTTTTACATTCTGTATTCAGCCTTAGTTTTACCTGCTATTTTTTATCTTTGATCTTAATATAGTACTCAGTTCTTTTTGGTTGGGGTAAGCTTTTACTGGCAGACAATAATTAAGTAAAGTTGGTTTCTTTATTTTTTCTTTAACACAACTCTGTGAAAGTTTACAGTTTTTAAAAAATGTATCAGTATGAATTTTTATACTCAATACATTTAGAATTACGACATTATTTAAAAAAACACCTTTTACTGCTCATTTCTCTTTAGGAGTAGTGAAGAAGTTCTTACTGCAGAAGATTGTGAAAATGTCTATCATCTGGTTTATTCAGCTCACCGGCCAGTAGCAGTAGCAGCTGGAGAATTTCTCTACAAAAAGTAAGTCTATATTTCTGCTATTCATTTTCTATAGTATACTTTCATAGCAGTAATTTATTATCTTGTACTTGATATTAAAAACTATATATGAAAACTTATTTTTTAAAATAGTACAGGTCAAATTGAAACTTTCACATTGTATTTACCGTTTCCTTTAAAAGTTTAGATTTCTCTTAATTGTTTTTTTCCAAAATATTAAGGAGATACAAGTGTTTTTGTTACATGGATGAATTGAATAATGCTGAAGTCAGGGCTTTTAGTGTACCAATAGGTACATTTTAGTCTTAAACTTAATTTTCCTTTGCTGTAGAAAATATTAGAAGGTTCTGCTTCAAGTAGTTAATATAGTTTGACATCCAAATTGCAAGAATCCTACAATCCTTTTACTTTTATGATGCTATTTAACATCTCAGGTAGTATGGATAGCAGTGTGAATGATCACAGAAAACATTCAGTGAATGTTCTGTAATGGCTTTCAAAGAGAACATTTCGAACCACTTGGATTAAACTTTCATTTTTTGTAAGATTTTATTAAAATGCCCATTTGGGGTGCAACATTTGTCAGAAAGAGTAGGTGGTGTAAAACATTCACACTACAGTTTTCTGTTAATCACTATCCAGTGTTAAGTCTCTTTTGTTGTTTAAGAGAAAGAACAGTTATCCTATCCATAGAAAAAGAACACTAAGTTGGAATAGTTTTGCAAGAAGGATAGAAGGAAAAGATACATTCAGTTTTAAAGAAAAATATATTTCATAGATTTTTGTGCATAAATGGTATAGGTTAGTCAGTGTACTACTTTATGAATGGAAGCAGTTGTATAAAATGCAGTAAGGTTTTTAAAAAGAAATAATTTATAACTCATTACAATTAACTTGAGAAGTTAGTTTAAAAGGACTTAGAAGTACCATCAAGGGTGAAATGAAAAAGGTTTATAGGAATTATTTGCTTGATGTTGGGCAGTATTATACCTTCCCAGTCCCCTTTTACTCCTTTGTTAAATGTTTAAATATGGAATCCAGACAGTTAATTTTTTTGATTAGGAAATAGAGTTTTATGTTATTTTATAATAAATATTTTTACTTTGTTCGTAGGCTCTTCAGTCGTAGAGATCCAGAGGATGATGGAATGATGAAAAGAAGGGGAAGACAAGGTCCAAATGCGAACCTTGTTAAGACATTGGTTTTTTTCTTTCTAGAAAGTGAGGTTAGTTGTATTGCTTATTTTATACTTATGTTCAAAAATTTTGGAGAAAGTATTAAAATGAGGTACATCTTAACATCTTCCATGTAACACAATAAATTTTAAATAGTTTGGAGATATACTCATCCCACAAAATCTTTAAAATAGGCTTTGTACTTTTATAGTAAGATCTTTAAACAATAGGATTTATAGTGCTGAGAACATGAATTTTGGAATCAGAAAAACCTGATAATCAATTAGGCTCCTCTGCTTACAGTTTGTATAACTTTGGTTTAGCTACTTAATCTTTCTAGCTTCAGTTTCCTATTAAAAAAGATGCATTATAAATTCTCAGATAACACTGAGATAACCTGTGTAAAACTTTTAACACAGACCTAGCACATTGTAAGTTCTCAGATGTTGGTACCTGCTGTTATTTCTATTGTTGTATATGTGGATTTATATCAGTCTCAAGTTGAAAATCTAACTTGTTAATCAGATTTTGAGAGAGCTCAAAATTTATTTTTGGTGTTTATATCATGTATTATTTAATTAGTGTTAGGGACTTTTAATTTTCTAATTGTTTCTGTAGATATAATCGTTTTTTTTTTTTTTTTTTTTT